TACACAGTGTATATATGTTTATATATATATATATATATATATATATATATATATATTGGATAACCTTTGTTTTTAATTAAATTTTGTAAGAATATGTTTTGTGGATCACTAAATGCAATTTTCATGCAATTCTAATGAGAAATATGTATTTAAAAACTGTTTTTAATCTAATAAATGAAATTCTGTGAATTTGCAGTAATATATATCGTATATATATCGTATAATATATATGCAGTAATATATATCGTAAGGAACTCAAAAGATTTTTTCCTTACATAAGTTATGTGTGTTGAAAAGTCGCTTTTCTTTATCTACTTTTTGTATTTATGTTAATTGGAAAATATTTTTTATTTTTAATTTTTTTATGGATAGCCATTGAAGTTGTATCTTTTCTGTAAGATGCAGTTTTTGTAAACCCTTATTCTTTTATAGATTTTTTTTCTTCTAAGGTACAGTTTTTTTCCTCCTGAAAACAGTTAATCTTTGTTTTAAGTACAAACCAACCAAATTGTAAAAAATATACTCAGAAAGCACATTTCGTTTAAAACCAGATCAGATAAAAACAGATGTTTCGAGTGTAATAAATGTAAGAATTGGAAAAACAAAAAACTTATGTACTTACAAGAGGAGTTAAAGCTTGTGTAATCTTTGGTTTATCACCAGAAGGTTTTTTTCTATAATAATAATATTATTTAATTAATAAAACATTTTAAGCAAAATAAATAAATAAATAAATGAAATGGTATTAATTCTAAAAGATAAAGTTTGAAGAAGCTCTTTTCTGATATTACCAAAGAGGGTGAAATTGAAATGAATAAAATTTCAACAATGACTGTTAGAAGAAATTTCTCTAAATGATTATCAGATAATTTATATATGTTTAAATAAATTAATGAGATGTACATATACAAGAACATGTTTAAACTTGTTTTCTTGATTTATAATTTGTATGTCATTAGAGCTTCTTTATTGTGTGTCAATTGTGGGCGATTTTTTTTATTCGGTCAAATTCGGAACTTCCCCCTCCGAAAAAGTTCTCTCCGTCCCTTCCCTGTTTGTACATAAACCTCATATAACTTCTAAACTATTAGTCTCTAGATTGGATTCATTCTATTGAGTGTTAAAAAATGCATCATTAAATATTCTTCACTAGTTTATCTAGAAACAAATTCAGTTCTTTACCTCAAATCATCCCCATTTCCATGAGAGAAAAAAAGAGTGCTGTAATAACTGGAATAATTATAAAATAAATGTAAATATTTCCCCATTCAATTATCCATGAAATTTGATTTAAATAAATATAATATTAATGAAATACTGCACATGTAATTAAAATAGAACAATACATAATACTTTTAATGCAGCAATCCGTTTATCAAGAGCGAAACGGCAGGTGATATACTATATTGATTAAAATAAATAATTGCTTGCATTAAATATCAAATTTAATAATTTTTTATAAATATATTTAATTCAAAATCTTCAGCAACAAAAAACATTTAAAATTAGCGCATCCAATATTTTGAGAGGTAACTATTTTAAGTGTGGAATAAACAGGAATTGAAGCTTCATATATAGATAATTTCATGTCATTAAAGGCGAATCTCTCTTTTTAAAAACTCAAGTGTACTCAAGTGTAAAAGTGTACGAAAATATCAGGGCTCTATTTACATTCGAAATAAAGAGTATTTTTAAGAAAGATTGTATAATAGCTATTAAATGTAATGAATAATAAGAACTTAAGAACTTAATATTGAGGTTGAAATGCAAATCACATTTTCAACAGCTGAGATTAAGAAATGTGTCCTTTTAAACCGATAAGAAAATTTGCAAAAAATCAGCTTAAAATAAAATACTCTTTCTCAAAATTTAAATGAAATGCCAAACACTTAATGTTGTAGGGTAAAAAAATTTCTGATTTCAAAAGTAATAAATATCTTGAAAAATATTTACTTTTCTTCCTTCTTCTCTTCTTTTTTCTCCTCTGAAAAAATAATGAATATATTTTTTTTAAATGTAAGATTTAATTGTTTATAACTAAAGCAATTGTTTACCGTAATTTATCAAAGAGCATCTTCTCCAAAGAAATTATTAAAAAGAAAAAGCTACAAGTTTTAAAAAGATTTTTTCTGTGCAGAATATATTTATAAAGTTTTAACTGAAATATTAATTTCATTCAGTGAAATAAATAATTTTGTCAAAGCGTAAAAACAACCGAAAATTGTTTCAGTTAAATGCAATAAAATACAAGAGTAGCTGTTAAATAATAATTTTTTTTCATTTATTTTGTTTAAGTAAGAGACAATCAAGATCATTTACCAACTACTGAATTTAAATGCAACACGAACATACATACATACATACATATATATATATATATATATATATATACATACATATATACACATATACATATATATATATACATACATATACATATATAGGAAAATCGGCTTAAAAGTAAATTATTTTAATAATTATTATGGAATGATCATGTCCAAAAGAGAGACACTCAGAAAGACTTCATTTTATTATTTCAGATAATACTAGTTATTAGTTTTAAGTGAAATTTATTAATTAAAAGAAATACCCGGATGCTTTTTATTAAATAACTTAAAAATATGATTAATACACTTGTTTAAGAAATGAAGAGAAATTGCCATATTTTTAAGTTATTTAATAAAAAGCATCCGGGTATTTCTTTTAATTAATAAATTTCACTTAAAACTAATAACTAGTATTATCTGAAATAATAAAATGAAGTCTTTCTGAGTGTCTCTGTTTTGGACATGACCTGCAAGGGGTCAATTTTCCATTAGTTCGCTTCGGTTGATTTAGTTCCCCCCCCCCACCCCCATAGTTTTACACCTCACCCTTGATAAAAATAAAACTGCTGCAGACGATTTTCTTTCTTTCAAATATTATACATCGGTGATAGTCGCTAGCTTACACAACTCTCTTTTAAAAAGAAGAATTCTTTTTACACCATATTTAATATTTCTTTTTTATTTATTTATACACTCAACGAAAAGCTGTATATCTGTAAGAGGGGTCTCTTATTTGTTGTTGTTTATTCTGGAACCGCTGTTTCAAACCTTCCAACAACAACGCTCGACCATGCGTGTGTATTACAATTGTTGAATTGTTTTGTACTGTACCAATGTATATCAAATGTCATTAAACTCGGTCCAGTCTGCAAATTCATTTTATTTCTAACACCAGTGTATTTTATAAACATTTTGAACGACATTTTAGGAAGAAAAAAAAACAACGATTAATCTTACCGATGTCTACTTTTACCACCGATGAAGTGATTTCTCCCTTTTCGTTTTTGGCCACCATTTTATAGTCCCCCTTGTCAGCGGTGGTCGGTTTCTCAATCTCCAGTGCAACAGAAAACTCTCCCTTTGTTATTTCCGTTATCTTCACGCTGTGTTTGCTGCTCTCCATCACTTTTGTACTCTCCTTGTACCAGCTGCAGGTCGGTTTAGATACTGAGGACACTCGACACTCGATCACCACCCTCCTCTCCTCTCTCTTCACCACTTTCGGTTTCTCCTTGATCACAGGAGCCACTAAACAAAGACAATCATTCATTTTAAATCTGGTGACTATGGTGGCAAGGAGGTAATAACCAGGGGCCCTTCGATTAAGTTGTTTTTCTCTTATATTTTTTATTTATTTTAAGTATTTACATATCTTTTCATTTAAGAAAGCATATTTAAAATAAATAATAAATTAAATTTTACTTTATTTTGTTTGAATTAGAACTAAAAAATAATCATAACATTTTGAAAGTACTTTAATATATATTTGAAATTGATTTTTTTAATAAAAAAAATAATTGTTTTTCTTAATTTTTTTAAACTTATTTTCAAAAAATTCATTTTAAGAGGGCCCTAATCATTGGGGGCCATGGCCTAGTCTGATCTAATGGGTAATCTGGCCCTGGGTATAACTATTTCGAGTCGGGGAGAGGCCCAGGTCGGTGAGAGAAAGGGAATCTTTTTCTTCAGCCTATCGTGAAGAGAAGCTACTCTCCCTGAATCGCGCTATTCTTGTTTCCATGGCAGCGGACGGCCTCTGACTTTGTGGCGAGGGGAGTTCTTACCGTAGACAAACTATGGGTGTGTTGGTACTTTATTGACATTGCACAAGAGCAGAACAATGGGCTATGAGCGATGGTCTGGGAAACATCCCTGAGGATGATCCGAAAACATGCTATCGCCATTTTTTATCCTTTGCAGAGGGGGTTGCTCCCCTGCTTTGGTAACCCGATGACCTGCGCACGAAGTCGAGAGGGTAGAACAGTTTAACGAGGACCGACACACTCGGTCCCTACGCAAGCTGCTCAAAGTGGTCACCCAACCGCTAACTGACCGCCAGTAACTTCTACTGGTCTACTGGGAACCGTGTCTTTACGGTCATTCCACTGAAGGACAGAGTTTCGATAAAAACAACCGTTGTTTCAAGTAATGATAAAATAATCACGGGATTAAGTAATGATAATAAAATAGTGGATTGAAGTTTGAAACAAAAGACAGGAAATTCGAAAATTGATCTACTGGGTGACGTCACTGCGGGACAAATATTGAGACCAGTGTATTTAAAAGCACAACTAGGTAAACAAACCTCTGTAGTTTGAAAATTGTTTCAGTCATTCATTTTTATTTTTGTGATTTTTATGATTTCATTTCATCTGACGGTAAACAGCAGATACATAATTGAGTTTACGACAATCCACTTCGTTGCCTCGACATTTTGAAGGCAAGGATCCACAAGACCAAGTATTGGGACAATGTGGAAGGAGACATCCCGCATCAAGACATCCCAGGCTAAGCAAGGCGTCTACTCACTGTGACAGGGGAAGAATCGATTCGAGCCTAGGATTCCCGGCTATTCTAGTAATCCTAACAGAAAAGAGATGCTTCAAGGAATTCAAACAAATCGTACATTTTATTATTCATTTCCTCAAATACTATTAAAATGTTTACTTTTTAGCTAAAAATACTGCTTTTTTGCCTCTTAAAATATTTATTACTGATATTTTCATTTGGAAAGTAAAAACGTCCATTGTTTATGTCGGATAATAGGAATTTTATTACATTGTATGAAATATATGGAAATATAACGATAGGGTCATTTGATTATTTACATACTTTCAACAAAAACATGAGCAAATCTAACATAAAAATTGTTTCGAGCGATACATCCAGGTTTTCATTTTAATACAAATACTTTCAATGAATGCAATAGGATGCTGTATTGAAGGAACGTAGTTATACAAATATCGTTCCGTCAATTCATAAATACTACAACACTATACATTTACTTTTAAATAAACTGGCATGGATTATACTTTTGTATTATAATAGTGATGCCAGAAATGGATAGAATGCTATAATTTAAAGCAATAAAACACGATTCATTAAAAAAAACACTTGTAAAAATACAATAGCTGTTAATGAAATTCAGTTTAAAGGTTGATTCATTCAACAACAACAAAAAACAGTCATCTAAAGAAAGTAGTGTTTTAAATATATCTTAGAAAGAGATCCATTTTTCTCATAAAGAGTGTCATTGCATTGATTTTAAATGTACTAAGTTTTTTTTTAAAAAAATGATTAATATCTTGTTGGATTGAAATATTTTTTTGGATGTAAAGAGTGTCCCAAAATGAACGCAAGATTTGAATGTGCCGCCATTTTTGCAGTGAATTGTTGGGAACCCTGAAAAAAAGAACCCACGAAATTCAGCCACCATTATGCACAAAGGTCATGAAAGATTTCAGCAAGAGATATTCAATAAGAGTGCCATCAAAGTCGTGGAGTTCATTTGCCAGATTCCATAAATAACCCTATCTTATGTACTTCATGATTCAATGAAAAATAACAATCTAAAGAACTGCATTTTCTATTTAATTCAAACCTTGTGTTCAGTTTGGGACACCCTTTCTCATTATTAAATAATAAATTATTAAAAAATAAATTTAATAAAAAAGACTTACATTCGATGTTAAGAGTGAGATTTGCGTTACTTTCTCCGTGAACATTTTTGACGTTACACTTATAGAGCCCGGCATCAGTAAATTCCAAATTCTGTAAAAAGACACATTTAAATACAACTTTTGAACATTATATATAAAATTGAATTTAAAAAAAAAAATAGTATGTGGAAATTACACGACCCATACAAATAACTAAAAAATAATAAAAACATTTTCTTTACTACGCTCAAATTTTATTCGAAAAACGAGATTCGAAATATAGTCAGGCAAAAATTTAATTTTATTCAGAATTTTTTTTATATTTTAGAGAAACTTATTTATTTTAGAGCAGACGAAAATATTACGTTTTTATCCTTTATTTATTTTTTGAATTCTGCTTGTCTGTTGATTAAAAGCTTTATTTTTAGTTCTATTTAATTTTACTTAATGTGGATTAACTTGCACAATAAATTCCTTTAGTCTTATTTCAGTCGGTATTCGTTATTAGTATTCAGTTAATCGTTATTAGCTCTGACAACTTATTATTTCTAATCAGAGTTGGAATAGTTTAAATAACCTGATTCTTTTTAAATAATTTAGAAATGCTTTCGTAGAATTATGATTTTATTTATAATTCTAATCAAAATTTTCATTTAATATAAATTCTGTTATATTTTTCAAATCCTGGAATTTTATGTACTGCCTGGAAAAAGGTAAAAAACAATTTCTTCTTTTTTCGTACGAACCCTGCAGAACATGAAGGTGAACTAGCCAATGGCTGCTATCGGTTCACTTATAACAATCTTCTCAAATTAGATGCATTTTCGTTCAGCATTCAATGAATGCTGATACTCCATTTTTTTTTTTAAATGAAACCTTTGACTTATATACATTTCGGAACTATTCAGCGGGAAAGATTATCACCAATGTTTCTATGTTAGTTACCTATTACTTCTAATAGCCTATTATTAAACTAGCACTATTAAACTAGCATAATAATTACCTATTACCACTCATAGCATATTATTAACTATATAAACCTTAGTCTATCAATCACTTATTACTACTAATAGCTTATTATTACCCAAATGAAACTAGTATATTAATTATCTGATACTACTAATCACCTATTATTAACAATATTAAACTAGTATATTAATTACCTCTTACTACTAATCACCTATTATTAACTATATTAACCTAGTATATGAATTATCTATTACTACTAATATTCTATTATTAACTGTATTAACTTAGTATATTACTAGTACACTACCTAGTATATTACCAGTATAGTCTTAAAAATATTTCAAAACTGAATTAAGTTTACATGAGTCACGCATTTTTCCATAACATCAAAGAAGAAGGGAAGATGAACTAGCCTTTAATTCTAGCTTTATGTGATATACATCTTTGTCTTGCTTGATGGTCTGAATGATGCGACTGCTTTCTTTGACCACCTGTCCATCGCAGAACCACGTAATGTCCGGTTTTGGACTGGCCCTCACTTTGCATTCCATGATGATCCTATTTCCTCCATCTTCGGGAGTGATTTTTGGTTTCTCCACAAATGTCGGTGCTTCCCCAGTTGGAATTTTTTCACCTGAATCAACAACAAAAGTTCACTCATTTGTTTTCACAATCTGAATGTATTCCATGGATGTAAATAAAAACTATTGGAATGTCTAGAGACTTTTTAACTCGAAAGCAGAAAAATTCTCTAAAAATTATTCATTAAAATTAATTCATTAAATGATAAATTCTGACTGAACAAATACTGTTTCCCCTGCTAAGATTCCCGATAAAATGGAATGATGTGCGCAAAAAGATAGATTTTTCATCTATTGATCGGATGTTGACTCAATCTAAATGGTTGAAGAGAGAGTCTAATGAATTAAAGCAGACCCTCACAATACACTGGTCGACAAAATTAAGAGATGGAAGACATTTTCCCAAATATCTCAAAAAATACTGAATATAAATAAATGAAATTTGGTATGGATATACCTTATTCCATGATAATAAAGTATGCAAAATAAAAATGAAAGTGCCATTCACTGGCAAGACCTATTACCAATAAACGCAATGTAGTCTGAGCTTAAGGATAAAAGATGACAATAAAAGTGAGGCTTGTACAGTGTGTGTTGCCTCTAGTATGGTGTATGGTCACCCCTGACAGACAGCATGCACAACGAGTATGCATGCTGTTAATAAGGAAGTTAAGGAGGACTTGTGGAAGATTCTCCCATTCTTCCACCAGAGAAATTTTGAACTCCAGAATGGTTCTGGGAGGAGGTTGGCTCATCGCAATAGCTCTCCCAAGAGCATCCCAAGCATGTTCAATAGGATTCAAGTCAGGGGATTTGGCTGGCCAATCCATTCGTTGAATATCCTCGCTTTCCAGATACTCATCAACCATGAGAGCCCTATGTGGTCGCGAATTGTCGTCCATAAAAATGAACTCAGGGCCAACAGCGCCCCTGAAAAGACGCACATAGGGCTCTAGGACCTCCTGCTTGTACCTCTGGGCATTCACGGAACCACTGTCAAACACATGGAGTGGTTATCTTGCATGATCCCTGCCCAAACCATGAGTCCTCCACCAGCATAATGGTCCCTTTCGATAATGTTGCTGGGATGGTATCGGGTTGCAGGTTCCCTTCATATCAATAACCGTCCAGAAATAGCGTCATAGAAATGAGCGAAAATGCTTTCCATCTCTTAATTTTGTCCACCAGTGTATATATAAGGGATATCTGAGAAGAAATATTCTCACAATAGTTGGGAGAGTGGTCCAAACTTCACCATTTTTAAGAGAACAGTTTTGCACAAAATCGTTTATCAATTTTAAGTAAATATTTATAATTTCATTTAATAATAGTTTACACATTTTGGTATCATTTTTAGATCATTTTGAAACATGGGTTGGAAACAAAATGTGGGGGGGGGGGGTTCCTGAGAAATCGAATTTTGAAAAAGTCGTACATTCTAGAATTTTTACTTAACAAAACTTTATTTACTTATCTATCGTATTTTCTTTGGTGCTGCTCACATTATCATTTTGATATATTTTTTAAATTAATATATTTTTTCGAAAACACTATTTTTGTTATAAGCAGATCTCCCGCATTTGTTTCAAATATTGTTTAAAAATTACCTTGAATATCAAGATTTAAGTTGGCATTCAATTCACCGTGTGCATTGATCATGTGACATTTATAAGCACCGCCATCTTCTTTTGATGCATCCTGCAAAAAAAAAAAAAATTATAAATGAGGCTCTCATTTCAGAATTTGATTCGATCTTGTCCCTTATTAGGAAAACAAGAATGCTCACGATAACATTTATGCAAAAAACACTCTGAAAGTGTTTAGAAAAATATACACGCAATAAAAGAGTACAATGCAATAAAATAACATTTGTTTCATTGACGTTTAGTCCAAATTCTTTACTGTATAGTGGATTCTTTGTAGAACTGAATTATAATTTTTGGTTACTTGAAATACATTCTAATTTTGTTATGAAGAAGGGAATTCAAAAAAATAAGCAAATTCATTTTTAGAAAAATTGTTTTTTTTTTTATTTAGAGGCCATTCTAAGAAATAATTAAAGAAAGAAAGAAAGTCCACAAGAGAATCATTCTCTTTAAAACAAAATAAAGTTCTGTATAGATCTTTTTTGTTTGTAAATTATTGCCTCAAAACTGTAAGAACTTTAAACTTCATTGATATGTATAAGAAATGGTAAAACTCATTAAAACTATTTCCTCAGCATTTCCGAAGAAATATTAAATAATAAGTTAATATTGATCTTTCTGAATAAAAAAAATTCTTTAAAACAATTTCCATTGTCATATTTCGTTGAAGTAAAAATATAAAGTGAAAAAATATGATTTGAAGCAAAAAATGGATACGCAGTTGTCGAAAATTACACGAACTCTTATAATTGAGAAAAGAGGGAAACATTATTGATGCATTACTATCATTTTTAAAGGATTATAAAGAAAAATAAATTTTAAAAGAAGACAGCGATTTTTATGTTATTTTCATGAACACTAGGAAGTGAATGAACTAAAGTGATATGAAGTAATACAATTCAAAAGTAAAATATTCTTAAGTTAAGAAGAAATACATTTCAAAACGAAAGTATTTAATTTAAAATTAAATATAAAAACGAAGACTATTATTTCATTTGATTTTCAGACCATTATGACAACGGAGATTAATGTGCAAACGAATCAAATTATTCAAAAATTTGTCAAATACTTAAACACGAGGCACTAAATGTGAGCGTGTTTAAATTATATAACTCTCAACTCTTTTTTAAATAAAAATAAGTATTGTTAGAGAAATTGAAAATGATAAAATTTTGTTTCATAAATTCTTATTTATGTAATTAAATTCAATATTATTAAGGTCTTATCAAACAGCAACGATTTTAATTTTTTTTTTATTTCCCTTCTGTGTGTCCTTGATTCGTCTCTTCCAACGATTTCGTAATTAATCGGTATTTTATGATATCTCTGACTATTGAAATCAGTATTTCCCTAACTCAATCTTAAATGAACCCTATTTAAGATGGGCAATACACAAATAAACTTTAAAAGACGAAAAATGAACAACCAAAGGAAAAATATTGTAAACAAAACCCTAATCATTAATAAATTGAATTGAAATTAATTGAATAAATTGAAATTGCGAGGACAGTTTTCACTGACTGCTTCATTTTAATTCAAACACTTGGGAGCGACAGTTAAGATTGAATTATTCATAGTTTACCCTTTTATTTCTTCCTCAATGATTGTATGGTAATAAGTTTAAGTTTCTCTCATAGAAACTTTTAAAGAGTTTAATATAAACAAGTTATTTCTTATTGAAAGGGAATGATTTTATTTCTTCCTCCCAAGGTCATTCCTCCTGCAATTATTATTATTAATGTCGTGTTTAGTTTTGATTCCATTTCTGAATTTAAAATATCTTTTAACTAGTGTTTCATCTAGGTAAAATTTGTGAAAATGTCTACTTAAACTATAAATTTGTAAAATAAAAATATTTTTTATTATTAGACATTAATGTAGTCAATGCAATTTAAATAAAAAAAATTCTGTAATCTTAAAATAAAAATATTTCACTCACCTTAAAAAAATTGCAATTTTTAATAAAAAATTGGAAAAATAGTGCAAATTTTTAAAAAGTTTTAAAATTTGTATCTTAAATTAAACTATCTTGTTTTGAAAGACCAAACATATGGAGAAGAACATTCCAGGAAATGTGTGCATTATCGAAGTCATAATTAGTAATCTAAGACCACTTTCACCCCTTTAAAAAATGGACCGATATTCACTACACCTGCTGTTTCAAACAGCTGTTTTTACCAGCACCCACGCATGGAGCAAAAATACCCAAATCGCTTATTGAAGCAGACGATTTTTAAGTAATCATTTAAAACCTCTTTTGAAAAATGACCTTTTTATCTTTGATGAACATGTTAGAATAACTAAAACTAAGTATAAAAAAATAATAATAAACGGGAAAAGATTTGAATAAAAAATGAAGATAATCTAGTAAAATAGTTTATATTTGAGATTTATTGACATTTAAGAAAATTTATTTTGTAACAAAAGAATTTAACTTTTAAGTACATTTGGAAAACATATTTTAAACATGTTTTAGAATATAATTCAAATTTCCTTTTAACAACTTGTTTCTAAATTATTAGTTTTATTTTCTTAAAATAAAATAAAATGAAAAAAAAACTAATTTTAAGACTAATTAAAAACAAAAGTTCGGAGAACACAATAGAGAACATTTTAAAAGGATAAGAAATCTTAAAAAGATTTATAAATAAATAATTTTGAAAGTTTCAATTCGTAAAAATACGTAAAAGTATATAAGACATGTTAACTCGATTCTATGTTGGGATTCTTTTTCATAAATGAAGGTCGACATTGTCGATGTGACTTGTGACATTACCCACCACCTCGCGCTTGTTGCTACTCAATCACACATAGCGTACAACATATTCACTCGACTGCTAAAGGCAACACAAAAGCGACCATGAACTTACTGCAGCTCTCACGATCACCACTCAATAGTACGGTGATCTTAATACTGCTCTCCCGGCTTCTCACATAACATCTATGAATCAATTAGTGGTATCCGTTCATCGAATTCTATCACAGCTCTAATGCTGGAGTACTGTAGTGTGTCTACCACTATAAAAGTCCAAATCAATAAGACACTCAAGTGCTGTGGTTACCGCTACAAGTACTAATCCTTTATTATTTTGACCTTTTCATAACATACAATAATAACAGATTAGACAGAATGAAAGCATTTATTTATGAGGCTCCAAAAGAATTCTTTACTTAATTCTTTTGACTCAAAAAACAAAGCTTATCATGTCTTGACAAAAATATGCAAGAAGTAGAAGGCTATTCTGAGCCCTCTAATCAATAATGTATTACAAAAATAAATAATTAAGATTCGTTGTGTCCAAACACTATAGACATTTTTCGTTAGCTTTTCTGCTGCGCAATAGAAAAATCATTGTTAAAAATTCATGAATGCAGATTTTATATACCTGGAGAAAAATTAGGTATCTTGAAATCTATGTTGCCTTTTTCGATTGCAGGGAAGAAACTTGAAAATGTTTAAAATTTAATGTGCTCAAAACTTATTCGAAATGAATTTTTGTTTAAAAAAAGGGTTTCTAAAAATGTTAAAGAATTTTTCATCTAATAGTTTTGAGAGTGAGCAGCCTAAAGCTATCTAAAGGTGTTTTATCATAGAGAGAGAGAATTTCCTCACCTTCCAGTACCGAACCCCAATCGATGGCATGACTCGTACCAACCACAGTTCTGACATATCCTTAGTGGGGGACTGTCCCTTTTTACCGTCAGGCTATGTGTGGGAAGTAGTTTTCCTCACCATGTAACGCAAATGCGGGTAAGCTCCATCAAAAAAAAAGTGTCCATGCAGGCAATTTTTTTTCCATTATTTGATCCAGGAGTTCCCCTGTCTTCTGGATTGGATTTCAAAATTCGGACTACGGAGTTGAACATTTGTAGTCCAAATTTGGATCAACTATTCAACGACGGTTATTAAAAAGTATTAAAAACATTCAACTTAGTGTCTATTTCGCAATCTTTTTTTTCCTTAAACATTCTTATGCGCATTTTTAAAAATTAAGTTTCTGTAGAATGTAATTATTTACTTATTCACTGTTACACATTTTGATTTCGTTTTTCATAAAAGGGGGTTTTTGAAGGTGAGTTAAATGGGGTATTCGCTCACAATTTCTGATGAAAATGAAACTGACTTGTTTGTTTTCGGAACTCTATGACGAGTGATTGAAAAATTTACTTTTCGATGCAATAAAGATTAGATTTGTTGAGAAGGAAACAATTGTTAAATGGATGCCTGAAATGATACACGGGCATCTTTTCCCCCATCGCTTTCAAAAGAAGGAAAAAAAGAGAAAATGTGACTCATTTCGTTTGTGTTGCTCTAAAAAAGAAAGAGAGATAATGAAATTTCTCAAATATTCCGAATGTCCAGAGAAAATTCTGCGAACGGTAAAAATCTTTGGTAAGTCAGAGCGACCTCTGGTGTCCGCCGACGCCCCTACCAGAAGTTGCCGAAATTGGGTGATCACTATGGCGCAGATCATGACACAGAAATCAGCTATTAAAGAAAACAACTTTTTTTTAATTATGCAACCAACAGCGGTAAATGTTGGATCCCCCCCCCACACACACACTACCAGATGCTACGCCTAAGCAGCTTACCACTTCATAAAACTCATGTTCCTTACGAGAAATAACTTCTTCCCAATAAATAATCGTGAAATCAAATAGAATACGAATTAGTTTGCCGCGATCATGCCTCCTGCCAAAAAATCAGATTTTATTTTTCATAAAATGTATTACCAAAAAAAAAATGATCCTTTTTGAAGCTGCGTATGAAGACTTTAAAAAAAGAGGTGCTCACCTTTATTTCGAGTGATACTGTGAATTCGTCGTTTCCCTTTTCAACTACTTTAGCTTGTACCCTGTTGCTCTCCTTCACAATTTTGGTACCTTGGTACCAAGTGATTTTGGGAGCAGGAATTGCTTTCACTTTGCACTGCAGAATGATAAGCTTATCTTTTGGAATGATTTTTGGTTTCTCCAAAAACTCTGGAGCCAGACCTTCTTCTTTGGAATTGTCCCCACCTGCAACAAAATCAAAATAACGTGTGACGATATATATATATATACAGTCGGACCTCCATTTAACGAAGTCGCTGAATCCCGATAAAAAAGTTCGTTATTCGGAAAATGCGTTAAATTGAAAAACAAAACAGGAATTCCTAAACACTAGAACCCTTATCGCGTAAATCGAATTGTTTCACATTATATTAACATTTTCTTCATCCGTCTTCCTCACAATTTATTGCTGTATTGTTTTTATTTTTCACTCTGTCCAAAATATCCGATTCAGTTAATGTTTCTGTGGTTGCAGTATCAATGAAAAAAAAAATCATTCTTCAGTGCATTCATTTCGTGGTTCTTTCTTAGCTATACCATTATTTTTTTTTTTAAGTTCTTCGAAAGGATTGTCATCCTCGTCCCACTCACTTTCCAAATTTTCCGCGCTGACTAAGAATCCAGCTTTAGCAAAACTATTGCGAACATCATAGTTCCATGCTTTAGAAATTTCTGTCACGCTTTCTCCTAAATTGATGTTTGGCATGAATTCCTGCGTGAAATGCTAATAAAAAAGGGATTTCATCACCGCTTTCTCTAGAAGTCAGGTAGCTGCAAAAATCAATTCAAGGTTATTTCCCCCATAAAATGAGTTAACAAGTTTGAAATGTTCCGAAATATTTTGAGAAAGAGGCAAAGTGGATTTCAAAGAAAAAGTTCGGTCAGTAGAAAATTCACTTTGCTGTTCGGAAGTTATTTTACGAAGAAATTTCTAACATGTTCTTGGTTCTTCGAAAAAAATCGCACATTAGAGAAATTCGCAAAGTGGAAGTTACGTAAGTCTGACTGTATTTGATAATCTCAACTCGCAACATTCATTTTTGTTCAATAAAACTGTCATGAGTTTAGATATGAATTTGTTACAAATGGTTCAGTATTTTTAAGAGTCTTTTTTTGGGTAGGTCAAAACATTGTGCACACTTTTTAAAATGCTTACAGATATTAGAATAAAAGAATTTACCCTGAAAATTGAGATCTATGTTGGCATTACTTTCTCCCAAATCATTAATTGCGTTGCATCTGTACTTTCCACCGTCTTCAGCTATCGGATCCTGAAATGAAATTTTTACAAATAAACTCATTTATTTAAAATTGGAAAATGAGCCAAATATATTTTTCTAAATTTAAAAAAAAAAGATTTCTTAGGGAAAAAAGAAAAACTTTTATTACGATTCAAAAGTTGCTGAAAATTAATATGAATGTATATATACAGGGTGATTCTGAAAAGATGGGCAAAATTTTATGAAGTGATAGTACACACCCAAGCAAACAATTTTTATCAAAGAATGCATGGTCGAAAACAAAACGTTAAGGTGCTGGCGCATTTGGAAAGCTGTTTGATGCAAACGTGAAAGATCCATTCCTGTTGCGAGTTACTGCGCTGTGTTACTTGTCGCCAAGCTTTCGGCCACTGCAGGGAAAGTTCGTCATATGCCTGGTGTGCTTCAGAATGCTCACCTATCTTTTCTTCGCCGTTGTACTGCGTGCATAGCCGCTACCGGCCACTGTTTTAACACTTATTGTAATCACATGCCATTAAACTTGCTTTTATAACATAACTTCATCGTTCTTTGTGTATTTTTGCCCCATATAAGAACATAAACTTTGAAGCCCTCTAGCGGTTTTGCGTTTTGTTTTTGACCATGCATTCTTTGATAAAAATTGTTTGCCTGGGTGTGTACTATCACTTCCTAAAATTTTGCCCATCCTTTTAGAATCACCCTGTATATACGTATTCAATATTTTGTGGAAATTTGTAGTTAGTTTACAGATTTTTTTTTTCAAATAGGTAAGTAGAAGTTCACTCATTTCAAAACGAAAACACATGGAATAAGCATTTTTGAATAAGACTTGAATAGTTTAGCTATTATTGAATTGATAACAGAAATGAGTTAAACTGGGTCCGAAATAAAGAGACAAAACTGCAAAGCTCTCAGTGACCTCTTAATACAATTGCAGAAAATATGAAATGGTTAAATAATCTTTAAATTATAAAGCCCATCGTTCCTTTTTTTTTAAACCGAACGATACCAACATTTCTTTAAAACAAAAAAAAATATTTCCCTTTTTTTATTCTTTGTGTGCGGTCCGTTCGATTGAAAATTCTGTTAAGATTTTTATTATTATTCATCCCAATAAGTAAATAAATAAGTGAATAAATAAATAAACATTGAACACTATTTGCAACCTAATTATCATAGCGCAGAAAGTATTTTTTTAAAAAAAACTAATGATTCGTAAAACTTCTCATTCATTAGTTTAAATATCCTAAATGTAAATTTTATTCTAAGATAAATGTTGAAATTTCTTCATTGCCATTAAAGTTTTGGTTTCATTTAAAATTATTTCAAAATCGTAAAATGAACTTAAATTACAAAGTTTAATTTTGCTTCTACATTAGCGATTAAAATGTATTTTTCAGACTTTTTTCCTAAAGAGATTGTTTTTTATCAAGTATTATTATTATTAGAAGATGAACTTTCGTTTTCTGTGTAAATGAAAAAAAAAAAGATTGTATCTTATATTTAATTTCGAAAAATCTGTTCCTCGATTTAAAAAAAAAATCATTAATTTTGAAGGTTCTCCGACATTTAAAAAAATTTTATTTAATAAAATTGCACTACTGATGAAAATACCGTAAAATTATTTTTATTGAAACGGTTCTGAATGAATAAATAGCAAAACTACAACTAGTCTCCTTATCTAAGGATTTGAATACCGATATTAAATTTCCCGAAGAATACTTATTTGTACAATGGAATACATCGACATGAAATCTATTCAAAAAGTAGTAAAACGAACAATATAGTTTTCAATCTTACTAAGAATTTGGAAGCTTTCATGAGTAATTTTTTGATTTTAAACTAGTTTGTGACAAAATCATCGTTGACACTAGCTGTCGGAAATAGCGAGCTACAACTACTGTAGTCGCGACTTTTGTTTCTTATTTTTGTAGTTGTAGTGCTGCTTTTTTCAAAAAGTAGCGTTGAGAATAGTGCGATACAAAAAAAACTAACAAGTAGTTTGTAGCGATTCTACTTTTAACGTTAGTTTAGTTACACGCTTCTAACGCAACTCATTTGGTGGGAGCAAATCTTCAGTCAATGAAAGAAAAATGCCTGCAGCTGAGCGTTAACAGAAATTACGTATTTAAAATCACGTATAAACTAGCCATTACGAAAAATATATAATTACTTCGGTTACACTTTTACATGCGACTCGCGAAACAATGATGTCCTTTCAAAAGGAAGGGAACGTGTTTTCGATGAACTTTAATACTTTAGAGCAGAGGTCACCATAGTGGTCTACATAGACCCCCAGGGGTCTATTTAACATAAGCGGGGGTCGATCTGAGCCAGGGGGTCGAATGGGGGTCGATCCGAACCGGAAGGGTCGATTGGTCGAAGGATTATCAGTATTTTTCAGATATGTGACAATTAGAAATAAAAGAAGAAGACTTGGAAATATATACAGGTAATCTTCAAAAATTGAGCGACGATTTTAAACTGCGTTTTGTTGATTTGGAAAACATTGACATCCCTGATTGGATTATTGTGCCATTTTCTGCTCAAATTGAAAACGTGGACATCAACCTGCAAGATGAGCTTGCTGAATTATTATGGGGATTTGAAGCAAAGACGCTTTTTAAAAATTTAACAATAAGCAAATTTTGGACAAATATAAATATAATGCAAAAATATGTAAGACTTTACGAAATAGCTCAGCCATTTATGATAGCATTTCCAAGTTCCTATATGGTTGAAGCCGGTTTCAGTCACGTAAATTCAATCTTAACTAAGAACAGAAATAAATTAAATGTGGAGTTTCGAGGGGATTTAAGATTAAAATTGACCAATTTTGAACCCAATATAACGTACCTTGCAGGAAAAAAAAAAACACCAGGCACACCCATGTCATTGATTAAGAAGCAATAAATCCGTAGTTACTTTACTTATTATTTCTACTTACTTATAATTACTTATTATTTCATAAATATTAAGGTATTTATATTTCAACATTAATATATTTTTCATAAAACTATTGTTACACTATGTACTATTACTTTAATAAATGTTCAAAATCATAAAATAAATGTACAAACACAGTATCTAATAGAGTTTTATTTTAATTAACAGAAAATTACTTTTATGGGGGTCGATGGAGATTTCGAAAAATTATGTAGGGGTCGATGATCAAAAAAGTTTGGCAACCCCTGCTTTAGAGGAAAGAGCATTAAACAATTTAAAAATTGCAAGTATTTGAGAGTTTTGAATTTCTTTCATTAAATATTCGCTGACGAAAAGGAATAAAAAGTTAAAGTTTAAGTGAACAAATTCGAAAAAAAAAATGTTTTAGAATAACAAACTGACTCATGTAAACTTGAATAAATAATTCTTAATTATTCCCTTATATTTAATGTGCGCCACTTTCATATTGAAGAACTTTTCGAATATAGGTGTAAATTAAGTTCTCCAGTACAGTTCGTCACCTTAAATTAGTTTCTAAGTTACAAAGTACACTCGTATAAGAAATGAAGAGAAATTTGCAGACTGGGTCGATTATCTCTGGACTGATTTTAATGAAATTTGATATGTGTACATACATTGGTACAGTACATATAAAATAACCATTTAATAATTGTAATACACACGCATGCGTAACACTCTTTGAAGTCGGAAGGTATGAAACAGCGGTAGCAGAATAAACAAAACAAAAATGGGTTAATCCCCTCTTACAGTGTGATTTCATACAGTTTATCATTTCCTGAATTGTCCTGTGGCCATTTCCGACTCCAGCCAGTGTTACATGCACGATCATGTGCGGCGTGTATTGTGGAATGGTTATTTCAATTGTATTGTATCAGTGTACGTACATATCGAATGTCAATCGGTTTAGTAGTTCTGGAGATAATCAACCTTCTCTCTCTTCAATCATTATCTTCATTTCATACACCAGTGTAGTTAGTAGTGACTACATTTAAAAGAAGAATAGTTTCAGTTAACTACATTTGTCGCATAGTTGCAGTTAACTACAAAAACCGATTGGCAACGAAAGAGAGGTCAAGGAAAAAGAGAAAAGTGCCTCACTTGTATTTCCAATGTCAAAAGATACATTTCGGATCCTTGAGATTTTGTTTGTATTTTATGTCTCTTTCCGTCCTTTATTTTCGTTGATCCGTGATACCAAACTATTTCTGGAAGGGGATCAGCTTCCAAGATGCACTCCAGAAAGAGTGATTCGCCCACCTGACGAATCGTTGGCTTCTTCGGAAACCTAGGAGTTTTACCCTTTGGAATTCTAAACAAAAAAACAATTCATGAAACATACAATGTTCCTAAAGATGTGGATTCATACTCTTTTTTTTTCAAAGAAAAGTTTTGAAGTATGTTTAACAGAATCCATTACAGAATGACGCTAGAATCAGACACGAAGCTTTTAAATATTAGCATATTTTCATTAGGTGAAATTTTTGAGTTGCTTAAGTCATCAAGTTAATGTTTTCTTATTTTTAGTTTTTTTCTGAACATAGTTTAAATAAATTTTTTTTTTTACAAATGATGCGCATAAAAAATTTTGGAATGGTAAGGTATACAATTTTTACATCATTTTAAAGAATGCCATTTTACGTAGCAAAATTTAAGAGCATAATTCGTTCCAATAATACCTGAGAAATCGAATTTTGAAAAAAAACGTACTTTTAATATTCGGGAGCTATTCGACCGATTTCGTTCAAATAGTGTACTTTGCCGTGTAAAATGTCATTCTTTAAAATGATATAAGAAGCTTACAATTCAAACTTTTTTTAATTATCATTAAATAAAATAATAAAAAAACAATAAATATTTGCAAAGAATGGAAATTTTTATAATTTGATAAAAAAGTTCTCGAGGCAAAAAGTAAAATTAACATAAATGGATCCTGTTGGGAGATTATTTTTGAAATTAAAAATCGCTGAAAATAAAAGGAGTGTTTATTCAGAACGTTTTTGTGTTTGATTTCTCGCTTGTGCTAATTAAGGTGACCTCTTCGAACCATTAAGATTGAGTCGTAGAACGTGATAATCCGACCATTAGAATCAAACGTTATTCAGAGTGATCATTTGCGCACTGTACAGGGCAAGCGAAAACTATATTCGTATTAAAAACACAGAAAAAAGCTGTTTACTACTTTGCAAACAATGATGCAATCAGACATCTCCCATCAGACTGGTTCCATTCACTTGCAGCGTAAGTCAATTAACATAATGACAAAAGATAGGGAATATTTTTTTCACAAATAGCTTCTCTTATAGTGTACATGAGAATAATCCGTCCCTTAATCAATCAATGGTTCACATGTACGAGGTTTGACTGTATTATACACATAAACATATGTTGATAAAATAATAAGGAAGGCAGTACTTACTGTGGTTTGTCATCTATTGAAAAGAAAAAAGAAGAAAAAATATTAGTAAGGTTAAAAATGTTCGAAAATGTATGCAATGCAAGAAACATTATTTAATGAAATAAAAATAATTAACCCGACTATATGAGGTTATTAAAATGTATAAACTAAACTGAATAAAAAAAAACAACATAAATGCTTGTTCAGAAATATTGACTTCAGAATACTAAATTCGATAGTCAAACCTCTTAAAAAGTTAAGGCATAAATAAAACACGCCTCAGAGAATTAAAAAACGATGTCATTAATAAGAGATGGTCTTTGCCTATTAAAAATGATTGACTTCGGCTATTACTGTTTATCTATGCCTATCAAAAAGAGATGAAGCCGATTACATCAGTTTCGTTGCTTAAAAAGTTTTGACATTATTACTTAACTCATTAACTAATTTATTATTTTATTATATAGATTAGGGGGAGCGGAAAGTAATGTCGTTTCGGTGCATTTGATATTTGTCATCAAGATTTTACTTTTAAACAATAATGTATTCACCCTTGTTAGCCTTTCAGTGCCGGATCAAAAATGAATCTGGTTTTTAAGACTAACGAATATTTAATGCGCTGAAACTACATTAAATAATTAATTATATATATATTACACAATCTTCCATGAACCGCTGAAATCGTGACTCAACTGGCCATGCTGAAGTCGTCTATTGCCCAACCATCGTGTCGTATATGTCATAACCCTCGTTAAACAGCCGACCCAATTTTTTTCAGGGTTTATAACTACTAATATTCAATTCCGCAGCCTCATAATTTTGAACCAAGCCAGAAGACAAGGAAAGTCCTGGATCAGTACCCCCCGAGGTATGATTTGTTATGGGAACATGGAGGACTTTGAGATTCGACCGATTTAACATGTATCAGACACCATTTTCTACACGGGGAGTCTTTTACCTGGGCCCTACCAACCAACCCCCAACCACCAGTATTATGGCGAGCTCAGGAAAGGAGCTAAGCGTGATGTCAAAGATTGCAGTTAAATTTAGCGCCGCTCTCAATTTAACACCACCGAGGCTTGAGATAATTCCACTGTCATTTAATGCAGGTTATGACACTCACACTTTCCAAAAAGGAATCTCTGTCACGTCAGAGTGGCACAAATCTTGAATGCATTTTGTACGCGATCCCGTGACTTTTGTCACCTCAGTGTATCGTAATATCGTGAATGACCGAAATAGAGTCGCTTCGGTGAATATCCCAAATATCAGATTTGATATTCGCTGATATTATTAAATTTATTCTATATTTTAATATCTACTAAGGATAGATTAGGAGAAACAACTGCGTTCGGAGTACCGGGCTGTCACACCTTAAATAAACATCGATGACCGAGTAGTGGCACTTAACTAGACCTATTATATATTTCGGACACATTTACCAATGGGTGATTGTCAACATTCACCCAACATTCACATTTCAGTCATTCAAATAAAAGTAACATAATAAAAGTTGTATCGATCTAAAGTTTCCGATCAATTTGTTCCAACCCCAAAAAGAGAGCATCTCTTCATCACAAAGTCTAGAGCTTGAAACCATTCTAAATCATCGAACAATTTCGAATAAATATTATTTCCATTCATGAGACTATTTTGCACGACCATTTAATAAGAAATTATTTTTTCTCGTGAAATCAGTTTAATTTATAAAAGATTAGTGTTTCAAAAAAGAAATCCTCTTCATTTAGTATAGATAAACTTATTTTTAAAACATATAAGTATTAAAAAAAGAAATCTTACTTTCAAAATTGAGTGTAATATTGGCGTGTCCGTCACCGTTTTTGTTGGTGGCCACAGCTTTGTATTCACCGCCATCAGCCCCCACAACATTTGTTATTTCTAATGAAACTATATGATTGTGTTTATCAGAAATCAGACCATATTTATATTTTCCACCATCCACAACTTCTTTGCCATTGTGAAACCTGAAAAAGATAAGTATTCTGACCACTTTGCTTTCATACTTGCACCAAATGAACTCAATTTTGTTTTCACATAATCACACTTTTTGTTCCTGATTCTCTACGCCTGAAGCTGCCCTAAGTAGGGAATTACTCGTTGAATACCTGAACAAATCTGTGATAAAACTCATCAAAAGGATCCCTTAGGGCAGTGTTTCCCAAAGTGTGGTACGCGTACCCCCAGGGGTACGGGAACAGTTCAGCGGGGGTACGCGTTGTTATGCGAAATATCTTGCAACTGACGAAAATTTCAAAAAATTTAATTTAAAAACAAAGCCAGCCATTAAAATTTACGATTACGTATTTTTCTTTTGCTATTTTTTGCTGAGTTAACAGTTAATATCAACAGGCAGTTGTGCTTTCAAAGTTTGGTGTAATTGTTTTGTAGTGAAGGTTTGTAATAAATTCTATTTATTTTGATTATTTTAATAAAATATAATTTTTATCCTTAACATAGAATTTTTTACCAAAATTTAAGTATTTTTTTTACCGAAAACTTTGTGCTAAAAAAGAAAAGTAAGCATATTTTTAAAAAAATACATTAATTTTTTTTATTAGTGGTACACAGCGTAACGAAAAATTTAGAAAGGGTACACGAAAGTCATAAGTTCGGGAAACACTGCCTTAGGGTGTCTTGCTGGTTATCTACATAGATTTGGATTACCTGAATTTCATTTAACACTGACATTTGTGTTACAGATTGGTTACTTTCACATTAACACTAGGTCTACGGACGTTTCTTATATACTTATCTCTACGGACACGCGTCAATTTAACGCATGAACGAATACATTTAAGAGCACTTAGAACGCAATGTAATTATATAATATAACGAAAAAAGCAATGAAAATATGAGATATATATTTATGGAAAGTTTTCATTATTCACTAATCTTATTAACGATAACGGAAGTAAGTAGTGTTGGTACATTCCTATTTATTATGGATGTGATGTTTGCATGTTTACTCAAAATTTTGTCTACATTACGATCGCGTCGAATGGACGCATATCCATAGAGATACCACAATAGAATTCCGTAAAGATACCACTATAGAGAATTTCAATGTTTCAACGCTTTTGCAGAAAATGGATTTCAATATATATTTACGTCGATCAATGGATAAAAGTCATTACAAAAGATAAAATAAAAATGCAAACGGGTTTTGTAATTTTCCTTATAAAATTCGAAATGCGTCAAAATGACACTGTCCCGTAAACCTAGTGTTAAATCCATGTACCCAGGTGAATTATGTTGCTATTGCTCAAAATAAACCTATAAGGTCATTCCATTCATTACTTAAATTTTTAAACTATCACATTTTATCGATTTCATACTACATTATTCCTTATCAAAAAGATTGTAAAGAAGCGAGGAAAAACTTTGATTTTTGTTCTTTCCAACAACATTTTCTTTGAAAATTAAAACAGAATTTGAACTATTGCAAATTTTTAGTCATCAAGAATTTCGCCTGAATTGGATTAATTCTCGATAACAGAAAGTTTTAAGTAGGTAGGTTTTTTGAAATTTATTTACTTTTTGTAATTGGTTTCTATACTTTGTATTAATTTTACTTTTGTATTTTGTGTTCTCTTTTCCTGGACTTCTTGGAAAGCCATCGAGAGAGCAAACCTTCTGTCACTCTCTTGATCGAAAAGGTTTCGTACTATTTTTATGACTTCCCAGATGACGTCAGCATCGGTTGTCATTATTATATTTTTCATTTTATGCATTGTTTTCTTTATTGTAAAAAATTTGCGTTCAATTTTCTTGCGAAATTCCTGCTGTATTGCGTCATTTTTTTTTAAATTGTAGTTTTAAGCTGTTCTTTAACATTAATATTGATTTCTTTTCTTATTGTGAATTATTATCATCCCATTTCATAGCATTTAAAAAAAATCTGGAAAAACTAATATTGACTTACCATTGTATTGTCGGTTTCGGATCAGCAATCAATCTACACTCAAAAGTGACTTTTTTGAAATTGTCAGCACCTTTAATGGCTGGTTTTTCTGTAAAAAGTGGCTTGGTCCCTCCTGCAGGAATGCCTTCATCTTCACCTACAATACAGAAAATATAAGTGAGAAATCAGTTCTAAACACTTTACAGTAGGGGTGTGGGCCACAAAGTGCCCGCCGACTGAAGATGTGAGGCCCGTCGTAATAAAAAAAAAATTTCATTTCATTTCTGCTTAACCCACTGGCGGTTTAACAAAAGTTTAAAATTGGGAGAATGTTTCTCCCCTTTACACTATTCATCTATCAAAGTGCATGGAAACACCGGTTTCGCTATGTGGAGAAGACAGCAGGTTAAAATACGACATTTTAAGTACAGAACAGTCAGTAGGTTGAACATTATTAAATTTCTTTTATTAAAATATTTCATTCAAATTTATATTACTCAGGGTGCGTAGCCAAATTATTCAACAAAAAATAAGCACTTTTCAAGCACTCAAAAAATATTTTTAAGCACTAAAAAAAATTATCATAATTAGGCAGAAAGTTTTTGATAATTGACAGTTTTATCTTGCAATAAAAACCCCTCATGCAATAAAACCCGTCATGCAATAAAAACCCCTTATGGCATCGTCAAAAATCATGAAATTTTGAATCATGTAGAAAAGAACGGCGTTTTCATACACTGACAATACGCCGAAATAGATTGGGGTTGAATGAATTGAGTTGGATAGGAAAAATGTGGCTTTTTGTAGCGAGAATCAAAGGGAAAATCTCATTTTGAAAAAGGGAAAAGGAAGCACTTTTTAAAAACACCCAATGAAAAAAGCACCTTTATGGGCTTTTAAAAAACGAAAATCGAAAATAAGCACCTTTAAACACTTTTTAAAACGCTACGTATCCTGAATTACTCTATAAAATGCATATTCCTTGCTTGTATATATGCATATACATTATTGTAAAAAATGGAAGAAAAAAATTTAAAAATTTATCAGTTTTATTAGTTTGAAATAAATTCAAATAATTAAAAGTATTTAATTTTCTGCAAGTATGTCACTAAGGTTACTGATAAAAATAGTTGGTGCTTAGAACACTTCAGATAAAAATGATCATATTCGCCGCTAACATGCTTGCGGCCTTCGTTAATCTACATGCTGTGGGCCATTACTCTAAAAAGTGGTGCACCCATTACTTAAGAGAAAACTGAAAATAAAAACTTACTGCTATCAAAGTTGAGACTAATGGTAGCGTGACTTTCGCCCAATTCATTTTTGGCAGTGACTTTATATTTTCCAGCATCTTCTATTGTGACGTCATCAATTTCTAATGTTGAAAAATAAGCGTTTCCATCTTTATCCAGCCTTAACTAGAGAAGAAAACAGATATTTGTTTTTAATGGTCGGACACCACAAAAACTGTGTTATTTAAAATAGATCCATAGACACTTCGGTTACAACGAACACACTGGTTTCAAGAAGCAGTGAATGGCTTTGCTTTACATAAATGTAAGCCCAGAGTCGAGAAGTTCATACTTTTCTTTAGTGCGCTCATTTCATTATTCCTTATCAAATTTATATGTATTTATAAAGGCAGAAATTTTAAATTCGGTTATTTATAAAAAGAAAAGTTTATGGCCAAACTAAATAAAATTTTAAAAATGTACAACCACCTTCGCACCAAAAACTATGGTCATAAATATCTAATTGATTTCAGATAATAGCCAAAACGAAATTCGTTTTATAAATCTATCTCATTCCGCAGAAAAATGTTATCGACATGTAAAGAAATGTTAGACATTTTTTTGAGGACTCCTTAATTTAATCTTTGAAGTGTCTTATTTTGTCAGTTTTTGTTTGAACCACTGACTAGAGAAATGTTGTTATCAGGGTAGTGTGTACCCTGAAAAAGTACCGACAAAAAACCTAAAAAAACTAGCTGACATGCTTGAAATGTCTCATTTTGTTTCTATCTAAGTTGTTCCATATTTATCCAAATTGTGTGATGATTTTGGGTTTTTTGCTGCTTTTGACTAATTGTATTTAAATTTTAGTCTTCATTTTTGTTTAATGCTATTTTTTATATATAGCACAATAAATAAATAGAAAAGGGACAAAACGAAAAAAGAGGAAAACTAAAAAAATTAATAAGTTTTATTTACTGCGTCTAAGCTGCAAGTATATAGAACTCGTAAAATAAGTTCAAACTGTTGAGAAAACATGGAGAGAAAAAAATTATAAAATTACAAAATATATATATNAGCCTTTTCCTTTTCAAATTTAATTTGGCAAATTTCATTTCATTAAATCTCTTAAGTTCTCAAACAAATCATTGAATTTGCAACTTAAAAAAGTTATTCAGAGTATATATATATATATATATATAATCAATCACTGAAAAATTCCTTCAAAATGTATTGAGAAAAAAAAAGGTGACTACCTTGCACCTTGAAGATTCTTTTACTGGATTACCATCATGGAACCAAAAAACTGTTGGCTTAGGATCAGCTAATATTCTGCACTCGAACAATAGACGCCTTCCTTCATCTTCCTGTCTAATGGATGGCTTCTTTGCAAAAGTTGGAGGAATGCCATCAGTTTGACTAGAAAATAAAAACACATTCCAATTATCATCTCATAATTGTTTGTATGGGGGGACTGAAAATCTTTTCAGGTTAGTATTTTTTTTTCTAGGTTTTTCGCAGCCTGTGAAAAACCTTCCAAAGAACGCAAAATGGATTGAAAATGGATCAGCAGAAATATCTTCAAATTTTTATACAGTAATTGAACTATCCATTTAAAATTAAATCAAAACAGTCTATTAACAGTTTATGATTTAAATCGAACAATTAAATCTAAATCAGGGCCAGATTTATCCTAATTGCGGCCCCAGGACAAAAATTCTTCGGGACCCCCCCCCCTTTTTTTTTTCTTCACTACTATAGTAATGAAGAACTGAACTTTGCGGAGATATTTAAATTTTACACCTCATTATAGATATCGAGAAAATTGACTAAAAGCTAAAATATCTATCCAGCCTCACCACACTCCCTTTCCCATGTTATTATAATAGCGTATTTGGGTAGAAACATTCTTCTAATGTTGCCCATTTACTAAACCACCAGTTGGTTAAGCTTCAAAATCACTTTCTGCTGCATTTTTTTTTTAAATGATTTAATTGATCCAAGCTGAAGTTTAAACAAAACACTTAAACCGCATTTTAATAAACAGCTGTTCAAATATTTATCAGAACACATTGGGAAGTTCTTTTCATTTTTATTTAAGATTAGAACGATAAAAATCTAATTTTAAATTAAAAACAAAATTTAATAAAAAATATACGACAAAAAATGGATGACCCCCAAATAGGGTTCTAAGAAACGAAAATTATTCAAAAAAATTGCCTAAATATCCTCTTGACGAATCATATTAAGTAGCCTATAAATGGAACATTAACTCACTTAAAATAAAAGACAGGTATTTTATAGAAAGAGCGATTTATAAAATGCTTCTTAAATACGGTATCTTGTCAACATAATTATATCAACACTGCGAGTAAAATTATTTAAATTTATTTTTTTGTAGCAATACTTCAGGTAATGATAATTTCAATGTTACATTTCTTATATTAAAGGTGCAATAAATCTTTTGCTATATTTAAGGTTTTTAATTCAGAAGTTAAATGACATCTTGAATTCTTTTTCGAATCCAAATTTCAATGGTTAGGACGGCTTTTCAATACCGAAGCAATTGTCAATAATGTTGAATTTTTTAAACTCATTTAAAAAATGCGCTACCTTCAAATCCGCAAGCAAAAACGTCAATTTCAGATCGATTTTGACGAAATTTTCTAAATAAATCGAAGTATTTATATCAAATCGATAATTTTACTTTTCTTATATTTAATTTTTTTCATGTCCATAATCAATTTATTTTATTGAAAATAGAAGCACCATAGATATTCTTTCACAAATTTCATTTATGAAAAGAACATTAATAACAGCAAAACCTTTTTTAGACATTTTTCAAAGCATTCGATAATGTAATTCATTCAATTCAAAAACTTAAATAGGGTGAGGTTTATATTTTAAATGGGTCTCACTTGTCTAATAAACAAGAAAGGGTAACAAACATTTTAGTAATTTCATTTCATTTAATATTATAACCGCGTCGTTGAACAGCCGACACAATTTTGGTTTTACGACTACAAATGCTCAACTCCGTAACCTAGTCATTTTGAACCCAATCCAGAAGACAAGAGAACTCCTAGATCAAGTCAGAGGAGAAATTTGCCTTCGTAGAGGACTTTTTGATGGTACTAACCGTATTCGCGTTACATGGAGAGGGAGACCATGAGAACCTCCCACGGTTAGCCTGACGGCAAAAGGGACTCTTGCCCATGATCCGTCTACCACTGGGGATGTTTCACGTCAGCACTGTGGTCGATGCAAGCCGGATTCGGATCTACCAGCCATCGCTGAGTTTCGAACCCGGTTCTCCTCATTGGAAGGCTCCTGAGTCATTTCAGTCGCGAGTGGTGGTTTCATTTTAGGACTTTTACTTGATCAATGATTTTTGTAAGTTATGTGGATACATTATGCCGATGATATATAAGTTGAACTAGATATTGTTGAAATGGGTACTTGGTAACCTAGATTTGAATTGGACCAAACACAAGCTTAACGTACACAAATTTCGAAATCTCGCCTGAATATTGGTCTTGTTGCGCTTTTCAATACTATTTAACGCTTTTGTTAGTATATTTATTGCAATTTAAAACTGTAAACGCAAGTCGATAAAATTTTGAAAGTTTTTTACAACTTTAATCACCTAATGATTTTTTTATTACACTTCATTATTATCGGTTTTATTCTGTTAAAAGTATCTCTCATTTAAAAGAATTTTAAAAAAATAGCCTCCTACCCATAATATTATTTTAAAAGTAGTATTAAATAGTCAAAAAATACTTAAAATATTAATAAAAATATCTTCCAAAACTATTTAAAAAAATTAAAACTTGAAAACTGTTCTATAATTTTAAACCCTATATTGTTTTATAATTGTACACATTGTTATTTCTGTATGGGTACTCCTGGTTATAAGAGAGATAATATGAAGACTTTTAAGAGTTTATATGAACTTATACGGTGAAAAAATATGATATAAAAACCTTGTATGGATGGATAAACTCTTATTGCTTCAAAAGGGAATGTAAAAATATATTAAAAATATGTTTCGAAATTTAACTATTGATTCTAAATCGAATGACTGCAAACTGAAATCAGTAGGGCAGAATTATATTTAAAAAAAAAGGATTTTTTAAGTATTAAACGGATTATTATTCCGTACACTTATTTTCTCGTCTGAAATATCTGTCTAGACAAGTGAGGTTTCCTAATCTATACTTTTTTGTGCTCTATCCAATCAGACCAAAATAAGGTCAATAGTTATTACATTTTTGTACTTATTTTGTATTCCCCTGAGTTATCTTAAGCTGAATCCAAAAGCATGTCAATAGAATAATTTAGGAATTTTCAGTATAAAAAATTATTTTCTTTTACTTTTACATATAAAATCCTACTACCTTTAAAACTATTTTTTATATATATAATCGTCGTTGAACAGCTGACCCAATTTTATGGGTTTACGACAACTCATGTTCATCTCCGAATCCTTGTCATTTTGAACCCAATTCAGAAGACAAAGAAACTCCTGGATTGAGTATTGGTAAACTTGCCGTCGTGGAGATCTTTCTGATGGAGCTAACCCGCATTTGCGTTACGTGGAGAGGAAGACCACGAGGACCTCTCACGGTTAGCCTGACGACAAGGGAGGGGGGAGACCCATGATTCGTCTACCACCGAGGATATTTCACGTCAGCACTGTGGTCGGTGCAAGCCGGATGCGGAATGCGTATCGACCCGCCATCGCCAGGATCGAACCCCGGTTCACCTCATTGGAAGGCGAATGCTCTATCTCCTGAGCCATCGCGGCTCTTTCTCACTCATTTGAAGATGGTTTAATTTCAAGGAGGGTATCCTATTTTCTTAAAACATTTCTCGGATTATTATTTTTTTTACTGTATTATTTTTTTACTGTATTATCTTTTTTACTATATTTCTGTATTTAGCCATTTTTTATGGAGAAGTCATGACCTGTCAACAGTTAACGTATTTTCCAGTTTGCGAATAAAATGCTGATGTACTCGAACGCCTCACTTTTCCATTACTTTCTGCATAACGTGAAGCTGAATTCTCAAAATTTTTTGCTTCGGTTCTTTACCAACCCTGTCATCCATGTCTGAAATGACTTGTGTCGGGAGTTTTTCATATGGATGCATTATTTCGGGAACATTTTGATCATCATTCATGTTTTGGTTTTTTACTTTGACCAACAAAATTTGAAAGAATTGTGCAATAGGAGGAGAATTTCGACAATAAACTACCTGTCGTGTTTTACGCCTCTTAGCTACTGATAGGTCCGATTTGACATATTTCTAGGGCTATAATTTTCAAATCACTCGTTTAAAGAAAGGCGTAATTGAATATTTAAAAATGTAAATTCAGAACATGAATAACATTATAAGAACACAGCATTTATTTGTAAAATTATATAAAAAATCAAACTTTCAACTCTATTAATGATTTTCACTCTTACAGTAGAGAAAAAAAATCAAAGCTCTAATTCATACTTTTCTTAATATTTGCAATTTTTCTTTTTACATCTAATGTAATTCATTTCACGTATACAGTTTACTGCATGGAAACGAGACATTTTAAAAAATGAAGTAAAATAAAAGCTGCATCATTCGAACTTTTAGAGTGTTGTAATGCATATTGTTTTCGAAACAAAAACTAGATTTAAATATTCTAGCACCATACAGTTTTTGTGTTTTTTCAAATGCTCAAATCTTCATTCTAAAATAATGTAAATAGATATCTATCTGTCATTTGAAAATATAAATAATCTTTCATCCAAAAAAATGTATAATTCACAAAAAATTTCTAAACTCTCGATATAAATTCATTAATCCTAATTTTAAAATTAGGATAGAAATTTGAAATGATTTTTTATAGAAAATATAGAGTAACTACAGTTATTTATATTCCTTTGAAGTAATTTCTGATCACTACCCAGTTTGAAAGAAAACTTCTCTACTCCTAATCAAAAATTCTACACATACACAAAATGGCTGTTTTCTACTTTAAAACTGAGAAAAATAGTTGAGCTTCGATTCAATTTATCCTTTTCATTCTACTGAATAATTAAATTTCATTCTACTGCGAAAATATCATCATTCAATGAAAAGACTTTTTTTTTGTCAGAACCTCAATATCAAACTGAAAATAAATTTCTCTTTTATAATTAAAATCAAAATTTATTCAAAGTGCAATAAAATTTGAATTGACGTTGAGGTAGGTTTATTTCGCATTATAAATTCTGAAAAGTACTATATTCCCTGAAAATATTTGACATCAAAATTAACTTTCTTTTCAACTATCTTCTTAACTATCTAACAAAATTAACTATCTTTATAACGACTTTATAAGATATTTGGAATGACATTTCATCCTATTTAACATTATTTAATGATGTATTTTAA